GCTGTCGATCTGGTATACAGTTTTATTCATTATATGTTGGATCGTGGCGGATTCCTGCTTATTTGATGGAAATAATAACAGCCTCGGGGGCTTTTGAACAAAGACGTTAAAATCACTCTTTAATAAGCTTAATTTGGGGGAATCAGCGTTTTGTCGGTTTTCCTCTTTTTCGCGATTCGTTTGCTATCCGCCGTGTTATTGTACAGTCAACTCGGTTACCACAGTGCGAGTCCACACCGAATCGATCTTTAATCGCCCGGCACTTCTGGAAAATAAAAAAACTGTTTGAATGTCGGCGTCTTGATAAACGTCTCTCATCGCCAGTGGCGTTCTTCAGAGTTAGTGGGGCATTTTCTTGACCCACATTCACTATGCTGTGCACTGACGGTTTCGACATGCAAATACGAAACGTAGAATTCTCAGTTTTTGTTCTCAGTACGCGTAAATTCGTACTTATGAACTAAATACGTGTGAAAAACAACAAAAATGTTTGAACCTCTTGCCGTCATTTCAAAGAGTTTCCAACATATGGTCAATGTGCGGATAAAAACGACACCACTGAAATGCGCGTAATATGTTAATTGAATAATGACTGGTGGTGGTCGTCGTCGTATTGTTGTTCTTGTTGTTGTTCTTGTTCTTGTTGAGTTTTTACAGAATAGTTGTCGTCAAAATAATCCAAGAAGTTCAGTAAAGCTAAATTTCTGAGAAGAGATTAGGTTGGAATTTCACCTAAAATACACAAAAACATAATATAATTTGTACTGTCGAAAACTTTGAGCGAACAATACCGACAGCGATGGTGAAATTCATTTGAATGGGTAGATACTCGTTAGAACTAGTTATGGTATGTACTTCTTCATCGATATGTTCTCAATTTGTTCGCATCGAGTTTTCACAAATACATATTAGTGCGTCCCATGGTTCTTCAATCGTAAATAAGCAAGTTATTTTAGGCGCGAAAGAAGGACACGGTCCGCCAACTCCCACTGGTAATATTTGGTGTTTGGGTGTTGACTTTTTCTCAAGCTCCGCCACACACCGACAGCTCGCTACTTGACACACAGACATAGACTGTTTACCCACATCAAACACCCCCTCATAAAAAAAGGTTGCCACTGGTTGTTCTGATTACTCCGACACCGCTTTTTGCCGAGAGAGCAACGGGAATACTCGGATCGACTGTCATTCCATTGAGTAGAGAAGGTGATGTGACAGGGAGCGATCAAATAACGTGTCTGGAAACTTGTTTCTGTGTGTCCGCCTGGAACGGCGACTACGTACGGTATAATTGGTGAGTTACTAATGCATTCTGGCAAAACTAAACGCCGTATAGAGCAGGAACAGGGCGATACGACCGGGGTCACTCTACTGGGAAACAAAAACACACAGGAAATGCGACAATGGGCCACCTATATAGTGAAAATGTTTAAAACCACACATCTCCATGGTAACTAACTTACACCAGATGAGACTCTGTGATATGTGTCAATATAATTTAACCCCATGTACCCGGAGATGAGAGACATTTAGTAGAAAGAAAACAAGCATATTTAGATTGTCAATGTTTTCTTTTGCGTCGATTTCGATTTTACGTTTAACTAAAAAAAAGGATTTTGCAAATACCAGGGAGCTGTTGAACATCGGGTCTGGTGTGTGGCAGTCTCCAATGGTCCCCGGTAGTTGGCATGAGCCTGAAACATGGTAAAGATTTCCTTGCCACTATTCGTGTACATATGACAGGAAGATTCCACAATTCCACTATATATCCATCTTGAATTACACTTTGGACGGATTCTGCCAATCATATTGATTATTACCAATTTATTATAAAAGCCCGAACCCTCTATTTATAAAAGTACACACAGTATTTTTATTGAAGTTAAAATTCCTTCAAAATCGATAAGTTTTCAAACAAAATGCTGGATATCTGTATATTTTCAATGGAATGTTCAACATGTGCCTTATTGTTGGCTTTTCGTGGTGTAAATTGTCTTGCGCACATGGCCTGACCCGGCACATGTGAACTTTGACTCTGGTGACGGCCATCAAATCAAGGGCAGAGATAAACAGACTTATTGACGAGTGGTTTTCACGGTTAAATGGTTATGGCCATTGTACGTTGGTGTGAAAATATAATTAAAGCAATTAACTCAATATCACGGGGTGTGAACAATTACACAACGGAGCGATTGAGAACTTGAAGCGCTCGCTGCGGTAGCTACCGCCCGCTATGATGATGATTTCGACTTGAATTGTGAAGCGCGTCCTCTTGTACCCGATTATAAACTTGCTTTTTGTGTGTGCCGCTAAGAATGATGTAACAATAATAAACAATATTCAAGTTCGAAATTTTCAGTATACGAGGCATGTATGCATGTATGCAAAATTATCGCGTTTATCAGAAATGCGAGTTTACGATTCGATTGGTGCAAATATATTCGCAAATATAAAGTGGTCGTTCTACTATTTTATCGACTACTTTTGGATATTTATATGTTTTGGTAAAAAAAGAAATCTTTCTTCGCCACCTAAAAAAATATTTGTTGAACGTTGAGTCCACATGTCATAAGTACACTAGCGTTGGATATGTGCAATAGTTATGTACAATGTATTCGTCAGACTTCGCTTCGTGTAGGCAAAATATCAAATTGTACGCTTCAAACTGAAGAAAACAAACTTTTGTTGCATTTATTCACCGTGGCACAGTCAAGTATGTTTTTTCGTGAACCTCTCATGTGAGCATTTTACCGTACACGTAAACACTCACGTACTCCCGAGTGATTTATCATTAAAGTCGGACACGTGATCAAAACTTTTGTTTATTATCACGTGATTTCAGAAAATGACGTTGCAGTATCATTACAAGTTCTCACAAATTATTTATCCCTGGCGAAGAAATAAAACCAAAATTCGGACCAGGGTTAACGTGACCTCTGTACCCGAGAAGGTTATGCAATGAATAAGTACGCCGTCACACACGGTCCTTAAAAATCCACACGCGACCACAGATGAGAGAAGTAAACACGCATGCTATTACCACTGCCCCGGACAATCAACTTTTCAAGTTCACGCCTTCCGTGTTGGTATTACGTCACGTCTACGAGATCTGATCGACGTTATTGCCGACACATCTATTCAATAAAAAAATGTGATATCATCGCACGGCGAACATAATTACTAGTACCCTGCTTTGTATTTCCGTAACGCCATCACTTGTCTCTCCAAAACAAAAAAGAACACGGAAAACATTGCTACGTCGGTGCTCCATAAAAAGGTCGGTACGACGATCATTGGCGCTAACCTCTTACAATGTTCAATTTGCCAGTAATTTTAAGGGCCACGTATTAATCACCATGGTAATACTGTTTCACAGAGAGGGCGTTTCTGTTGTTTCACAGTCTATAATAGTGTCGGCTACAGTACATCGCCGAGTTGTGTATTTATGATACTATCGGTATACACTTACTGTGCATGTACGGACCCGGTATCCGCCAGCATCAAGGGAGGACCTTACTATACCCGCCATCTGAGGGGGAGTCGCCGTAAAATACGCTAAATCTCGGCAGGTAATAGTATATTATCCAATTACATGCTTCGGACTTGAATTGTATGCGTGCAATCATTAACGATTTACACCGTTCGGTGTTGTGTACGGATACTATGCAGACACATGGCGCGGTGTTCACGGGTAATGTGGTGATACCATGTCCTGTATAAATATATATATACACGGTAAAACTCAAATTCAGACACTTATTTCTGTTTTCCAGAATGCACGAGATGGATTTATTGTTTGTCATTCCATTCTCGAGATCTGACCCAGAGATTGTCACGTGACACAACAGGATCGACTCGAACTTTATCCTATATTAATTATACCTCGTATGATATGGATCTCAAGTTTATAAATTAAACCTTAAATTGGATTTAGCAACTTGATCTGATTGCCGCAAGTTGTATTAAAACGGGTGATTAATATGTACTTTTTGAAACAATCGGTGCGCCGACGTTCGAAATAAAAACAAAGAAATTAATTACGTTCGGAAAATGATGTTTTTGTTATTACCAGTGTTCGTGTACATACGTGTGAATCTGATAACGGACATGGGCGGGTTTAATGGTTCACGCCTCTCTGGACTCCATTTTTTTGCGTGACAGCAGCAGATCGACTATTTTATTTATACTTTCGATTCAAACACGAAGCCCCATGTATTATTTTAATTACCAGCGTGGTCACGTGACTTTGCGTGGCGACGTTTGCAGCTGAAAGAAATATCTACAGTATTACTTTCGGTATAAGCATGTCGATTTCACGACCACGGGCGTTGACAATATAACGAGTATTCTAGGGATTTCCTTTGATCTAGAGATGGAATTAAATTGCCGGCGAGTGCGTCGGGTTGTTTATTGTTCAATTGGCTAAATTAAAATGAGCATATTAAAACGTCATCTCGGTCATAGTAATGATGACGGGAACGTATACCGTTTTTGTCACGTCAAACACAAAAAGCGACAAAGTTTCTCTCCTAGACTATGTTGAATTGACCGATGATGGCATTTGCATGTTTTCCCAATGGGAGGGCCTGTTCAGTAAGTGTGCCCGGTGATGTCAGCCAATGGGAAGAGCGCATACCATTGGTTAATGGCAGGTTTGGCTCAGTGATTGATGTTACTGGGCTGGACTAAAGGGAGTGCGCATATGCAGCATTTCGACTTTTTTTATTACACTGCTTGTGTACACCAACCACAGCAAAACATGTAAACACCGCATATTAGCGCTGAGAACTGTGAATTCTGGGAATGAAAAAGCCGTGAAATTGAACTCCAGGGTTTGCGTTAAAAAAAACAGAAACGCCTCCTCGAATTGTGGACAGTTGTTTAATATTGTCAAACAGAAGACGGAGCAGAAGACGGGAGTTGTCTCGGTTTTAAATTGAGTGGTGTGTCCGTCATTTTAAACAGTGGATGAGCGGTCCATGCAACAGTCCTTCGACCAACATTCGTGGTGAGTGCATACACATGTGCGTATCCTCACGACTCGAGAGTCCACATAGCTGCGTGCTGTTTCGAAGAATTAGTCCATCAAATTATCTGCGAAACGTGTCACTCGGCTCGCCCCTGTTTGTTTTTTATTCGGCAGACTGAGTGAAGACTATATACTGGTAAATGAGGCATTCAATCTTCCAGGTAAAAAGACACGTAACTTTTTTATTACTTTATTTAAACGCTTGCCACATTCCCGTTTAGACACAACTGCGCAAAAATGTAGGCGGAAGCATCTTCCTCGCCTGTCCGAGGATATGGTGTTCCTCCTAAGTGCCGTGCGGCTTGAGGACTATATAGTGTATACACAGTCACCTCGATCGGTCCGCTCTACACATGTATATATATATATATATATACATGCCAGCTATAACATACCCCGGGACAACAATTCCGCCGTTGATCTATTTTGAGTGGTCGTAACCGGTCCGGAACGTACTCGACAATCTTTGTAAAATTGGCCCTGCTACCCGGTAGTCTAGGAAGGTAGTTTGAAGTTTTAGCAGACGGAGCCTGGTCACAATGTATTGCAGTTAACGAATTAGGAATGCTAATAACAAGGCCACCACATGAGCTCTGCGCCGTCACGTTATTACTCAAACAAGTATTATGCGCATAGTATAAATATATTAGAGGGTAACTGTCTATAGCGCACATGTAGTGAAATACCGTGATAGGCTAGGTACTGCTTCTGGGTTGGTGTAGACGTCAGACTTGCCAACAGACGCTCCGTAACTTGCTAACAAAGCCAGTCTGAGTAAGCGGTCCCTGTCTATTCACTTTTTCATCTAATCTAGTTGGGAAACGTTGAAGTGCTTGCGTTTAGCTTTGTTTTTCAATGAACTCGCCGAATAGAAAACCCCCTCACTATTGTTAGTCTATGGGCGATTTTACACGCCGTATTGTGCTGAGTCTGCGTTGGACAGAGACGGTACCTAGTGGCTCGTGTAGCGAGTTCGCGGTCGCGTTCCACTTGAAACGGTGGTGACGGGTTTTAGGCGAAGGGGAGCCCAACGAACTCTGTGTTGCTCACCGATCCATACAGGAGCTTTACCGTGAGGCTGTGTGCAAACGGATTGCTTATTGGCCAACACGCACAGTGGTGACCACACAACCAGACACACACTCTTCTCCGTTATATGCCCACTGAAGGTAAACACGTACAGAGGATCGCTTTAATTGTGTTATCTCGATCCCCGTTGATGCTCTCACGCTTTAAAAAAAGGACCAACACGCAGATTACGCAATTCCAGTTTATCGGGAGAAAATGCATTTCTTATATATATGTACGTTTATATTTCTGCAGATTTAAAACCATGAAAGAGAAGTCGAAAAACGCTGCACGAACCCGTCGGGAGAAGGAGAACGCGGAGTTCTATGAGCTTGCTAAGCTTTTACCACTGCCGTCGGCAATCACTTCGCAGTTGGATAAAGCCTCTATAATTCGACTATCTACAAGTTATTTAAAGATGAGAGCCCTTTTCCCCGAAGGTAAGTAACATCCATGTATGAGTGTGTGTGTGTAACGGCCTGACAACATCGTGTGTGTGTAGTGAGTGGCCTTGCGTATGTTTATGTGCGTTAGAATCATGGTGTGACGGTCGTGTTTTCTCTCTCTTTTTTACGTCTTTGTGGATTTTTTAGCTAAAATACACTCTTACTGACGGGATTAGCAGCACATGTAATTTCCTTGACGACAATGACCTGAAAACAGGGTCTAGTAGCGTGCCAGGCGGCGTGGTCGGCACCTCCATTTATTGTGCCGAGTGTTATAATCGCTATGCAATTGATGCTAGCTATAGAAATCCCGGCCCAGTTTCACACCTCTCACAATTGCCAAGTGTTACTACTAAAATAGCCGTAAAATGAACACTACCGCTCTCATGGTTCTTAATTCTTTCTTTGTGAAGTCTCGTTTACGGCCATAGTGACCAGTATCATTTGCTTTACATCCCAAGTTCAGCGGGCAGGAATGATGAAGGACGGCTTGCGCGGTATTCGATCCCGTCTGTGTTTATTGTTAATTTAGGCATCCGTTACCACCACAACGCATTTTACTAATTTCAATCTACTACCAGCCTCCATTTGATTTCATATATAAAAAACAATAAAAATATTAAACAGTTATAAAGCTAATCATAAGCCATCAGCTTTTCAATTAAAAAATAACACTGGACTGCTGTTATTTCCCGTAATTCAAACGTAATCTTACATGGCTCACCCTAAAGCAGGGGTCTCCCCTTTCAAAACAGGTCCGTTTCTTTCTTTCTTTCTTATTGGTTTATTTCAGTCTTTCCGTCCTCGTGTACTCAGGGACAGTTGCATAGAATTGTCTAACAATAAACCGGTTTGCCGTTAGTCTTGTCAGCGTTGCTTTTTTTCCCGTAATGTCTCTCTACATTGGCAGTTCGGTGTAAAGAGCCGGTTTAATTGCTGTCGCATCCCTGCGTTTGTACCTCAAATTAGCTTCATTTCTGGCCATGAATGCCCTAGAACATAATGACATACAGAACTCGGCACACTCTCAAAAATATGAATTATGATTTTACGGAGAAAATAATTCGATAGGCGACGAGAAATAGCATTCATTATAACTAGATAAGGGGTACTGCAATTAACTTGTGTTTAAACGACTAGTGGCCTATTTTAAAGGCATTATCTTACCATACTCTATTGTAACTATCCATATTATCCAAAGAGCTTTTGAGCATCAATGCGAAATAACAAACTATAAAGACCGATTTCCCTGTAATTTCAAGGAGGCGTCATTTGGGTTGAAAAAGCAAAGATTTTAGACATCATTGGGCAATAAGCGTATGATATGAAGATCGGTTAGTGGGAGAGAGAGAGCGACCGCGTTCTCCAAGAGAATTAGACTTAAATATACAACAAGCAACTCGATAAACCACGATGGAAACCCAAATTGCCAGTCACCCAGCTTAACCAGCGGAATTACAAATACAGAATCTTGTTGCTTGCATATTACATGTTATTAATGTCTCTCATAATACCCGTATATGTATAATTCCTTGCAATATGTTTCCTGGGGATAAGGTCCCTTCATCGAATGTATATAGAATTTGCTTGACAATTGACACAAGATTCCCCTAGAAAAAAAAATTAGCGAGATAATGTGGAAATAGAGCAGTCCGTTATAAGAGACACATCATAGACTCATCCAGTTGATCTACTTGACTCGTGTATCGATTCGCAGACTAAGATGTTCCATCATCGTCATTTTCAATAGTAAATGTCGAATTAATTACAAAGGTATTCAAACAAGGAGCAAGACTAGTAGGGGTTCCTTGTCTTTGTCGTTAACGTCTCCAATTTGGCAAAGATTTAAATACAGTTGCATTTAAATTGGCCCTGATAGACAGTAACGATTGCTTCTGCAACATGCTAACCATGACCGAAAACCACCTTATTTATCTGGATCGTGCGTGCAGCTGCTCTCAGCTCTGTGGTTTGAACGTTTCTGTATCTTCTTCTGTTTGTTTCTGACAGAATTTGGCGTAATCTGTTGTCACTGTAGTGCCGTGCGATTTATTTCAAATAACCCAGTTCATCGGTCTCTTGTCCTGCCATCTGAAGAGGAAAGGGCTAATACAATACCGCTGTTGTTGTCCGCCTTTAGAAACGCCAGAACAGTGACAAACAGATTTTTCCTTAAAAGTACATCACAGTGATCGCATATTATATTATCCCCAAGTCAGCGTTATGCAATTATATCGACACGAACTTAATACAGTATTGAGTAGCAATAAAACGTATAATCTGCATTAAAATTTCACACTTACTGACACAATATAAAATGAATCTTTGATAAGGAGCACCACAGCATCAAGTGGAATAACCGATGGTACTTACAAACGTCTAATAATGTTTTGGATTTGAACTGGCCTGTGATTGTTATTGCATTTATTTGTGTTTTATCAAAACTCACACATTACGGGATGTTTTGTCCTCCAACAACAATCATCAAGCGCTCCTGTTGACCGCTGTCAAATTAAACAATACGACAAAGTTTCATATAATAATAATAATAATAATAATAGTAAAACATGAATCACGGATTGATTGATTTGTTTTCGAAATCAGCAAAGTTGTGGGAAAAGCATGTCTTCTGTTTATGTCGATTTATGCAAATATTTCAGGGTTCTGCAGATGATATGTGCGCGCGATACAATCGTATTCTTGTTCGATTCAGGGCATAGCTGATGGTGTTAATAATGCGGTAGCATAATAATCCTCAACTCAGTTGATAGGTTGATATTATGTATCGGGTATCATATCACCTGTCCTGGACAGCTAGCTACTCGACATCCCCATCACATAACGTGCGCTCACTTAACACTGTACACATGAGATAGCTGCATCCGTGTTGCGTTGCTAACCACGCTTCCAGTCAGCATCGCTTCAAAACAAAGAGACAGTTCTCTCACTGTCGCCGTTTGTTTCCCAAAGTTCGTGGAAATTAAACACACTTTTTTGAAACCATGAATTATCAGCCAACCAACACAGGTATTCTATAATTAAAATCTTCTGTATTATTACAATAAGTGAATTCGGAACTAGGCTTTGCTACAGTGGGTTTTAAATATTTTATTTTCTAATATACAGTGGCGAAGAATGAAATTGCGATCATTTCAAATTAACTCCTACTTTTCGGGTGGAAAGTTCGCAGATGTTAATAACAAAAAAAAAATCTTCATGATAATATACTCTGATTTCATGGTATGCAGTTGTTAAGAGTGAACTTTTGTTTGTTTTCTTTTTTAAAGAATACAGGCCAACCGAAGGTGTAATTTTCGAAAAACGGTGACTTCTGTTAAATATTTCCTCCTCACTTGCCTAAATTATGTTTGCCTAAACTATGTAGGATTATCGTTTCATGTCCGCCAGGATACCGCGCATGATAGATTGGTGAGTCATATCGCGTCAATTGCATTTGGAGAATTTGAGAATGAATTTGTAGTAGTTGTTGTTGTTGTTGTAATACAGCTATAAAACAATAACAACAACAACATTGTTGCAGTAACATCGCCGGGCGATTGTGGAGTTCCGTAAATGAAATCTGTGTATATGTATATAAGTGCGTTAGTCGATGATCACCCTTGGGTGTAGTACATTTCAGTATGGCGGGGACATTCTCTTTAGTTTGCTATTGCTGATGTTGTGTTTGGTGTCTTATTGTAATACAGTCTCCGTGATGATCGTTGTTTACACTCAGCAGCCCGTCGGGCTCATTGCCGAACGAAAGTAATGATGTCTACCACTCTAAATATAATTGATCAGTGTTAGTTTTCTCCCAAATAGAAACAATATTAAATCAACGCTAACGTTAATTGCATGGCTGTGTCGTTAACGATGTGTCACCTCCATCGCCAGAACTGTTACCGAAAATTGTTGTTTGACGAGTCGCTGTCATCTTCAGATTTAGCACCCGGGATTTGCTTTCCGCCTCAGCAATTGCCAGTTTTCACGAAATAACTCGAAAAACAGTGAATTATAAATGACGTGGATAATCCTGGGAACTCCTGATATTGTGAGAATAGTGTAAATATTTGAGCAAATGGGAAAATGTGTCAAAAATTGACATCGTTGCCAACTGTATATATATACATGATTAGTGTGGGCTAGTGGACGACATATTGGATCGCAGAACACTCGCTGATACCTGTTTTTCATGTACCCGGACCTCAAAACACTGAAAGGTTGTTTTTTAAGTATTTCCACATTTCGAATCTATTTTGGTTTTAATTTCTCAGGAAAAATAAACGTGACAGGATTTATAACCGATACGAGCTTGTTTATTTCGTCGAGTGTTGCATTCTATCGGTAACGTATTATGGTATGATACCGTTTGTCTTTTGTGTACTGTCACACTGCGATGGGGTAGACATTGGAGGTTACTCCTAGGCGACTTGTCCATCACATTCCTTACCCCTGAGGTCACTGGCTCACTTCTCCTGTATAACATATCTGTCCTTCAATGAACGGTCTGCAGAAAAGAACTCAAATCGAGGCATGGGGTTGATTTTCAGAAATAATAAACACATGGACTCAACTCCTGGAAAAGAGGCCACCGCTGTCGCCAGCCCGACTGTTAACGAACGTGATAAAGACGTACTTAAAAGGTTAGAGTGGGTCTGGACAACGCCTTCTCTACCCGGCCTGCTGGTAGATTTTATTCTATTTAAAAACTAACAACACATATACTGATGACAACTGATCGATCTATGTGCAAACACCACCAAAATACGGTGTTACGACACAAACCTTTGCCCAGTGACAGAGCTTCAATAGTATGACAACAAGATGGAAGCCGACATGGCATTTGCTTGCGTATCGAATATCACGTTCACGATAACTGTTCAGAGTAGGGATTCTGAAGACGAATCTAACCCGGAATGCAGAACGTAGATGATTTCAATCCATGCAAATGAGCCTGATTTTGAAAATAATAAACGGACTGCATTTGAATAGAG